GCACTGTAGGCTAGCTAGTCGGAATGAGACATATAAGAACCGCGACCACCTAAAGCACTGTGAGATGCCTGGAGTGCTGAATGAAACGGCATGGGAGGATGGCCTATAACAAAAGTACCCTTGCCTCCAGATGAGGCACCACTAAAATCACTAGAATGATGAGGCCTCTTATCAGACCCCTACCATCTAGATGCCTAGAGTGCAAGAACATCCTCGATGCGCCTACGACATTAGCATTCATCTGAAAAGAAATCTCACCCCTAGTCTCCTTGGCCATCTGTAGCTTGAAAGGATGAGCGAGTCCCTCAATAAACATCTTCTCTCTCTCTCTCTCTCTCTCTCTCTCTCTCTCTCTCTCTCTCTCTCTCTCGGTAGGAATTAGAAGAATAGTATGACAGGCCAGATCCACAAAATGGGTCTCATACTGAGTGACTGACATACTTCCCTGCTGGAGGCGCTCAAAATGCTTGCAGTAACCCTCTCTCAATGTGATAGAAAGGAACTTCTAAAAAATAGCTGAAAGAACTGGTCCCAAGTAAGAGCAGGCTACCAAGCTAGTCTGGTCAACATATAATCTCTCCACTACCTCTTGGCAGAACCCGTCATCTGAAACACAGAAAAATTGACCCCATTGGTTTCAACTATGCCCATGTTCCACAACATTTTATGGTAGCGGTCAAGATAATCCTGTGGGTCCTCAGAAGTTGCACTACTAAAGTGAATTGGGAAGAGCTTTGTGAACTTGTCCAATCTCAATAAGGCCTCAAAAGAAATGGTTGATCGATCACCAGCCTGTGTCGCACCAACCAGCTAAACTACCTCAACTGAAGGGGTTGCTAAAGTCTGATACTGGGGATCCATCTGCTCCGGAGTGCGAGTAGCGGGAGTCTGTGCTCCTTCCCCAGCCTAAAAGACAGCTGGTGACATAGGAAATGTACCTGCCTCGGCCATACTCTCCATAAGGCCCACCAAACGGACTAGAGCGTCTTGAAGCACTGGGGTGGCGATGAACCCCTCCGGGACTTCAGCTGGTCCAATAAGTGCAGTTTGAGCTGGAATTGCCTCATCAAACTCCACCTGAGGATCCACTGTTGGTGTTGCTACTTGAGCTCAAGGTTGAGTTCTACCCCTACCTCGACCTTTGGCGTGACCTCGGCCTCGACCTCTGCCTCTCGTAGAAGCTGCCACTGGGGGCTCCGGCTACTGTCAAGCTGAAGATGCAGTATGTGTTCTCGCCATCTGCAAGAGAACAAGAGTAAAAGACTTCAATTAACAATGAGAGAACAAGCACAACAGAGGATAATAGACGTGAAATTTGTTCCTAAACTTCATAGCTTCTGGAAGATAAGTACAGACGTCTCTATACCGATCCTCCAGACTTTACTAAGCCTACTCATGACTCGTGCGACCTAGGCAACCTAGTGCTCTGATACCAACTTGTCACGACCCGAAATTCCCACCTTCGGGACCGTGATGGAGCCTAACATTTCATTAGCTAGGCAATTCGATGTTAGAAAATCTTTGAGCCAATTTTAATCAATTCTAACAAGTACAATTAGTTAAGTCAAAATAAAGCTAAAACTGAGTGCGGAATAACATAAAACACAATAACATCTAAGTACAACCCGGATCTGGTATCACAATTCACGAGCTTCTAGAGTTTCAACATATAGAGTTTGAAATAAGTTCAACTGTCCCAAATGATAAGAACTATAAATAAGGGAAAAGTGGAAAGGGATTTTAAGGTCTGCGGACGCCAGCAGATCTACCTCGAGTCTCCAAGTCAGCTGATCCGAGATAATGCACCTCATCGGCAACTAGGACCAGTACCAAAATCTGCACAAGAAATGTAGAGTGTAGTATGAGTAATACCAACCCAATGTACTATATAAGTGTCGAGCCTAACTTTGACGAGATAGTGACAAGGCTATGGCAAGACATCTATGTACATAGACATGTGCAGATAACAGTATACATATAAGATAACAATAAATAAAGGCTAAACATATATTATTGGGAGAGGACATGCAAAAGGGGGAATAAGATATGATAAGTACAACATGGAATGATATCAAGAAATAGTAATAAGCCCTTAACCAGTAAAACGAATAAACATAATGAACAAACTGCACGGCATCACCCTTCGTGTTTTTACTCTCACTTTCATTATAAATCAATAGATACGGCATGACATCACCCTCTGTGCATTAACTCTCAAAATATGGCACGACATCACCCTTCGTGCATTATATCTCACAATATGGCATGGCATCACCCTTCGTGCATTAACACTCAAATATGACACTGCATCATCCTTCGTACATTAACACTCAAAATATGGAAAGGCATCACCCTTCGTGCATAAACAATCTCTCTTACCATATAACAGTGAACATATAACAACAGGGCGATAGAATGAATAAGAACAAGCCTTACATCAAAAATGGTTCCACAATACCAACCTCAACTTCAGAAAAAATACTCAATTACCATCGGCAGTTTATAAATGCGAAAAAAGTGATCAATTTAGTAATTAAACAAGTCTAAGCATGTATATCATGATCAAAGAAAGCAATAATTTACAAGAAACAAGTCTCACCCGCATGCTTTAACCCAACAACAACGCATAAGTACTTGTCACCTCACATATACATTATCGTCGCATCTAAAAATGTAGCAAATAGACAAATAAGTCTTAATCCCTCAAGTCAAGGTTAGCCACGACACGTACCTCGCTCCAAAGATCAACTCAAAGCTCAACCACAACTTTGCCTTTCAAACAAGCCTCCGAACTAACAAAATCTAGCAAATTACCAACCAAACAATTCAGAATAAACCTTAGGAACTACCCACGATTGCAAATGATTCAATTTAGGTCAATATTGAAAAATCAACAAAAGTCTACTCCCGGGCCCGCTTGGTCCAAACTAAAATTCGGACCAGAACTTGATTACCGGTTCACCCCCTAGCCCGGTTATGTAATTTATTTTGAAATCCGACCTCAATTTGAGGTCTAAAACCCAATTTTACAAAAATCTCTAATTCTACCCAAAATCCAAATTTCCACCATGAAAATACTAGATTTTAGGTTGAAATCTTATGATATGTAATCGAAAAGTAAAATAAAATAGGTTAGAATCGCTTACCAATGAATTAGAGAAGAAAGGCTCTTGGCAAAATCGTCTCTAGGGTTTTCTTGTTTTGAAAATTAGAAGAATGAGAGAAAATCCCGTCTAACTCAAATGCGAGAAAACCTTCGCAAATGCGAAATCCAAGAGTTTTTGCTATCATCGCAATTGAGAACATTTATTCGCAATTGCGAACATTGGCCATCCTGCAAAAGCATCATTTGATCGCAATTGCGAACAATCCCCCCTACTTCGCAATTGCGAAGCAATTGTTTGCAAATGCGAACCTTGTGGTGTCCATCTATTCTTTGCAATTGCAAACCCGATAGGAGTTCTGCATTATCGCAAATGCAGGGCCTCACCTCACAATTGCGAGGTCTGACGCAAGCACCAGAACTGAAGCACATCAGCTATGTTTTCTAAGTCCAACCCACTCAGTAGTCTATCCGAAACTCACGCGTGTCCTTCGGGCTCCAAACCAGATGCACACACAAGTCCAAAAATATCATACAAACTTGCTCGCGCGATCAATCACCAAAATAACACAAAGAACTACGAATTGGATACCAAATCAAATGAATTTTTTCAAGAAAACTGATGAACTTCTATTTTAACAACCGGGCATCCGAATCATGTCAAACCAACTCCATTTCTCATCAAATTCGACAAACAAGTTATAAATATAGTAACGGACCTGTAACGAATTTCGGAACCAAAATACGGACACGAAGTTAATAAAGTCAAACATTGTTTATACATTTAAATTCATTAAGCTTTCAAACATCAAATGTTTCAACAAAATACGAAAACTCGAGGTAGGGACCTCCGAATTCGATTCCGAGCATATGCCCATGTTCCAAATCACGATACGGACTCACCGGGACCGTCAAAATACGGATTCGGGTCCATTTGCTCAAAACATTAACCGAAGTCAAACAAATGGATTTTTAAGGCAAAATTTCATATTTCATCAGTTTTTAACATAAAAGACTTTTGAAAAAATATTCGGACTGCATACGCAAATCAAGAAAGGATATAATGAGGTATTTGAGGCTTCAAAATTTGAAATACAGAATTGGATTCTAAAACTCTAGATGACCTATCGGGACGTCACCGTAGGATGTGATAATGTTCAACTTATCTTACTCAGTCGAGCAAGTCATGTTCTAAGTAAATAAATGTCATGAACAATACAAGTTAAGAACTATAATTATTCTCTTAGTTAGTTGATTATTATGACAGTTGTACAGTTAGCTTAGCAGTTGTTAGTTAATTGTCTTAGCTTAGTGCTTACTTTTAGCTTTGTATATAGTGGAGACTCCACTCACTCTTTCAATTCAATTAGTTTAATTGCACAATTCTGGAACCTTCTCTCGTTCTCTCTCTTCTCTCTCTCTGGGTTCTCATGGTGGACAATCCACAGCTTCACTTCCATTGAAGCATAACTTCAGATAATGGTAGAAGCTTAATCATTGTTCCATTGACTGAATTTTTACATGGTATCAGAGCGGGAGCTTCGATTTTGTATTCGATTCACGAGATCTATTGGTTCTCCCTTTGTTGATGATTGTTCAAACCTAATCGCACATATACAGATTCATTTCTCCATGAATTTCGAGATATAGCTTAAGAACAGGTTTTGTTTTACTTCTGATTCACAATTCTCTGAGAATCATTGTTGAATTTCATTCATCTTATATTTTTAGATATCAAAGTTTCTTAGATTTCTCTGTAATTCAAAAGTATGAGGTCCGATGAGAACGATAATCCAACAGTNAAAGTACGAGGCCCGATGAGAACGACAATCCAACAGTACCAACTGTGAATGAGCCTCTGAGTCAATCAGGCATTGACATTAGTAATTCTCTATACATGCATCCATTTGATAATCCTGGGGCAACCTTAGTTCCTGCTCCTTTTGATGGCTTTGGTTATCGATCATGGAGAAGAAGTGTGATGCGAGCATTGTCTGTGAATAATAAATTGGGATTTATTAACGGAGACTGTAAAAGACCAGATCTAGATTCTCCAAACTTTCGCTTATGGGAGAGGTGTGATGACATGGTCACATCATGGATCTTAAACTTTTTGACTAAAGAGATTGCAGATAGTGTTGAATACGTAACTGATGCATTTGAATTGTGGAGAAAACTTGAGGATCGATATGATCAAACAAATGGAACAAAGTTGTATCAAATTCAGAAGGAGATCAATGATATGTCTCAAGGATCACTTGATATTACCAGTTACTATACGAAAATGAAGAAACTATGGGAGGAGCTCAATACTTTGATTGCTAAATCTCATTGTACCTGCAACTGTTCGTGTGGGGCTAAAGAAAGTATGCATAAAGCAGAGCAGGATAGGAGGCTCATACAATTCTTTATGGGATTAAATGAGACATATACTGTTGTTCGAGGGAGCATATTGATGATGAATCCTCTTCCCTCAATTGCCCAAGCCTTTTCTTTGTTAATCCAAGAAGAAAGGCAGAGGGAAATCAAGCCCACTGGCCATCTGGTACTGGAATCATCAGTTTTGAATGCCAACACAACCAGACCTAACACATTCAGGACAAATTACTCTCCCAACAACAATCACAACAACAGAAACAGACCTTTTTGTGACTACTACAAGAGGCCAGGACACATTAAAGAGAAATGCTACAAGCTTCATGGATATCCACAGAATTTTGGTCACAATCAGAATCCAAACATAGGACAAAACAGTTTCAGTCAAAACACAAGGCAAGGTTCCAACTATAACTACAGCTATAACTCAAACAACAATAGTGCCAACAGATTCAACAGAGGCAACAGGACCCTAGCCAATGCACATGTGGCAGCCACTGAATCTCAACTTGAAGAGAATGATAAATATGTTAGTCATGACAATCATCAGAAAGTGAGCCTTACCAAGGAAGAGTACAACCAGTTGGTGACCCTGCTACAACAATTTCAGTCATCTGGGATAGGAGATTATGGAGGTGGTACCAATGCTACTTCAGGAACAGTAAACTTTGCAGGTATAATAGCTTGTACCTCCTCAATTGATTTTGGCAAACTTTCATGTGAATGTTTCAAGAACAAATCTGACTCATGGATTATAGATTCAGGGGCATCAAACAATATGACCTTCAACAGATCCCTATTAACCAATATAATCAACCTACCTAATCCCTTGATAGTCATACTTCCAAATGGCTATAAAGTAAAGGTGACAGAAATAGGCAGTGTAATTCTCAATTCTAAGATCACTTTAGATAAAGTGATGTATGTTCCAACTTTCAGATACAATCTAATCTCTGTTCACTCTTTAGCTTCTCACTTAAGTTGTATTTTTGCCTTCTTCAATCTCTGTTGTGTGTTGCAGTCCCCTTCAATGAAGAGGCCTCTGGTGATTGGTAAGGTGAAGGATGGGCTATACATCCTATGCCCAAGTTGCTTAAAGAAAAACAATGCAAGTCTTGCAGAAAAGGACAACTCTAGACTTCCTGCCATTTCTACTTGCTGCACTTGTGACACACACTGTCCAACTCATTCTATTGTAAATGTACCAGTCCACACCAATAAGTGTGTCTCCTTTCCCTCTCTCATTGTAAATAATTCATGTGCAAGTGCTAGTAAACATGTTCCTTTTGAGGATGTATCTTCTGAATTGCCTGGTTTCTTCTCTCAGTCTTGGTCTAAAAATAATGTAAATGTGTTGTGGCATAACAGGCTTGGACATGTTCCCTTTGTGAAGATGAAAAGGATTGCTTCCATTTCTGCTAATTTCTCCCCTAAACAACCCTTTTATCTGTACCATTTGTCCAATGGCTAGACAAGAAAGATTACCTTTTCCTCATAAAACCAGTGTATCTAACAAAATATTTGAGCTTTTGCATGTTGACCTGTGGGGTCCATATCATATCCCTACACATGATAAACACAAGTACTTTATCACCATAGTGGATGACTATAGCAGATCTACATGGACACATCTTTCGTCCAGCAAGAGTAATGCTATTGATATTCTTAAAAACTTCATGTCCCTGGTGGAAAACCAGTTTGGTATCAACATCAAGTCCATAAAATCAGACAATGGACTAGAGTTTACCAGTGGAGAAGCAACCAAATTGTTTCAATCTAAAGGAATCATTCATCAAAGAACTTGCCTATATACACCACAACAAAATGGTGTGGTAGAAAGAAAACATAAATACCTTCTTGAAACAGCTAGAGCCCTCCTTTTCCAATCCAAATTAACTCTAAGATATTGGGGTGAATGTGTCCTCTGTGCTACATCTATAATAAACAGATTACCATCCAATTCCATCAACACTAAAACCCCATATGAGCTGTTGTATAAGAGGAAACCAAAATACTCTCATCTCAAGAGCTTTGGCTGCTTATGCTATCCCACTGTACCAATACCACATAGGGACAAGTTCAATCCCAAGACTGCCCCTCATGTCTTTGTTGTCTATCCTTTCAACACAAAGCGGTACAAAGTTCTGAATCTGGCCACTAGAAAGATTTACATTTCCAGAGATGTGGTGTTTAATGAATCTATCTTTCCCTTTAACTGTAGCATAAACAAGTCTTCCAATTCACTTATCTTTTACCTTGTTCCTTTCATTGATTCACTTGATGAGCATCTTTTTAAGAACACAGGAAACATGCAGACCACTGAAAACTTGAGTGACCAAGGAAATGTGGATAACACACCTATCTCTATGTCACTTATACATGCAGCCAGTCCTTTATCTCATGGAATATCTAGCCCTTCACCACATAACACATCATCAGAACACAACATTGAACAGACAGATACAGAACAAATCCATCCAACTATACAGTCACACAGAACTCACAACATTGAACAAACAGATACAGAACAAATCCATCCAACTAGGCAGTCACACAGAACTCATAAACTCCCTACATATCTACAAGACTATGTTCACCCCTTACCTCAATTCAAGAATAATTCCACTTCCTTAAATGCTTTATTTTCTGCAAACCAACACATTGCCTCTGATCTACTAACTCCTGATAGTCAGGCTCTTGTGAGAAATATTTGTCATGACAGGGAACCATCATCATATGAGGAGGCAGCTATTGATCATGCATGGCAAGCTGCTATGACACAGGAATTTGATGCATTACATTCAAATAATACATGGGACTTAGTAATGCTGCCACCTGGGAAGCAAGTAATTGGATGTAGATGGGTGTACAAAGTGAAACACAAAGGAGATGGTAGCATTGAGAGATTCAAGGCCAGATTAGTTGTTAAAGGGTACACTCAACAGGCAGGAATAAATTATATAGAAACTTTTTCATCAGTTGTAAAGATGACAACAGTCAGAGCTTTAACAACTACATCAGTCAAGAAAGGTTGGCTCATCTCACAGCTAGATGTAAACAATGCCTTCTTGCATGGAGATCTCAATGAGGAGGTATATATGCAGGTGCCACCTGGGCTAGTGTTAGAGAAGCCAGGCCTGATATGCAAACTGAATAAATCTCTTTATGGGTTAAAGCAGGCAAGCAGACAATGGTATGCAAAGTTGACTGAGGCACTTTATTCAAGAGGATACACACACTCCATGTATGACTACTCATTTTTTTACAAGAGAAATGGAAGTGACTCAGTGTATATTGCTGTGTATGTGGATGATGTGCTATTAACTGGGACTGATGAACAAGAAATTGCTCAACTTAAGAGGTTCCTACATGAGCAATTCAAGATCAAGGATCTGGAACAGCTTCACTATTTCCTGGGACTAGAGGTTATGTATAAGAAAGATGGGATCATGATATCACAAAGGAAGTTTGCATTGAACCTGCTAAAGGAGTATGATTGCCTGAAACACAAGACCTGCTCTTCACCATTGGATCCAAATGTGAAACTAAAGGCCGAGGAAGGAGCAGTATTGCAGGATCCTACTTATTATAGGAAGTTAGTAGGGAAACTGAATTTCTTGACCAATACTAGGTTGGACATAGCATATGGTGTTCAGCATTTAAGTCAGTTTATGCAGAAACCCAGGGAGCCCCATTTGAAAGCAGCATTCCATTTGCTAAGGTACCTGAAGAATGATCCTACCCTGGGAATCTTTATGTCAAAGGATGGAGATCACACAGTCAGATCCTACTGTGACTCTGACTGGGCTGCTTGTCCAGATTCTAGGAGATCCATCAGTGGTTATTTGGTGTTGCTAGGCAACAGCCCCATCAGCTGGAAGTCCAAGAAACAAGAGACCATCTCACTGTCTTCTACAGAAACAGAATATCGAGCCTTGAGAAAAGTTGTAGGTGAATTAGTGTGGCTACGCAGGTTATTTGAAGAACTGACTGTCCCCTTTTCTCTACCTATTTCAGTTTACTGTGATAGTTAGTCTGCATTATACATTGCCAGGAATCCAGTATTTCACGAAAGAACCAAGCATATAGAGGTCGACTGCCACTTTGTACGTGATCAACTCCAAGCAGGCCTGATCTCTCTTCAACATATCAGAACTGATGACCAACTTGCGGATGTTTTGACTAAAACCTTGGCAGGGATCAAGCACAGTGCTGCATTGGGCAAGTTGTCAGTGTTTGCTACACCTCCAACTTGAGGGGGGGGGGTGTTAAGAACTATAATTATTCTCTTAGTTAGTTGATTATTATGACAGTTGTACAGTTAGCTTAGCAGTTGTTAGTTAATTGTCTTAGCTTAGTGCTTAGTCTTAGCTTTGTATATAGTGGAGACTCAACTCACTCTTTCAATTCAATTAGTTTAATTGCACAATTCTGGAACCTTCTCTCATTCTCTCTCTTCTCTCTCTCGGTTCTCATGGTGGACAATCCACAACTTCACTTCCATTGAAGCACAACTTCAGATAATGGTAGAAGCTTAATTACTATTCCATTGACTGAATTTTGACAACAAGCAATTGCATATAATCTTGTAGTTGCATATAATCAAGTAACTGCAACAATTCATACAATCTAGTCATTTTCTGTCACATTAATTTTCGGTTGTATATGTATATCTTATTTTAAAAGTAAGGCAAGCAACCAAACAATATATTATACGTATTCTATTCTAGACCTTGTATGCTTTATTTTATGTTATGTTGAAAAAGACATTAAAAATTGCTAGAATTTATGTCTTAAAGTACAGAATAAATTAAATTTCATATTCATCATGAGAGAATGTTGAAATAGATTGTTTTGATGGAAACCTGTAATTAGAGAAGTGTATCATTATTTCTCTCTATTCTGATATAGTGAGAGAACAGAGTCACATGCATGGCCAGAATTTTCTTGGTCCGAGGCAATACATAAATCTTCTTCAATATTAGCAAGAAAAGGTCACATAGCTAGGCATTAATATGGATACAAGAACATCCTCAATGTGGTAATACCATTTAATAAAGTTGGCCAGAAAAATTTCCTTCTTTTTTTTTACCCCCGAGAAATCCCCATCTGGTGTACAATTTTATTTTATTTTTTAAAAAAAAGGTCAGGAAATTAGGTGTATTCACTTCGTTCTTATTCTTTACGACTAGTTTAGAGAGAGAGGGAGCTATTTCTAAAGGATTTCAAGATGTGCATTATACATTTATTAATATAATATGACTAATCATAAAATATACTCCATATTTGTTCAGAAAATTTAGAATTTTGAAATAAATGTAAAATTGGGTTAGATAAATATATAGTATATTTTTTTAGGAAAATATTACTTTATCAACGATCTTTATGATTTAGGAAAATATTACATTATCTTAATTTACTCTGACTGTAGGGAGAAACAGAGTCACATGAATTGGCTTTGTCCTGCAAACATAAATCTGCTCCAAATTTAGAAAGCAAGAGTCACATAGTCAAAAACATTTTTAGTAACCGTGTGTTAAAGAAGATCTGTGCAACAATTTGTTTATAAGCAGTTCAAATATTAAGTATTTGGGGGACCGATTTAATTAATAGGCTGTGGAATTTGAAAATAAGCATATCACATGCATCGACTAACCCAAATATGATATTATATATTCCATTTATAGTAAAGTTGGCCAAAAATAGTTTCTGAAGCTCATTTAAGTGGCTGCTAAGAATGACCAAATTGGTTTCTGAAAATCACGTGCATGGATTATACGTGCTAATAGTGATCTCTAAATCACCTCTAAAATGAATAATTATGCTTTATTAATTCCAACCAAAGCAGTGCCTATAAAAAAGGCTCTAAATATTACCCTTCAAAAGCATAATTAGCTCAGTACTACTCCTTTCATCTTCTTCTGCTATAGAAAGAGAGAAAGCCCTTAAGCTTTTTTTTTTTGGTTCTCTTCTGGCTGTTAGAATGGAGAAAGTCATGGCTACAGTGTTTTGTACGTATTATAATACTCCGAATGAACTCCAACCACGTTCACTGTTTATTTAGTTTATTCTTTGCTCAATAAATTTCAATCGTACACTAACATTTACTACTAACATTTAGACGTTTATCTTGTTTAGTTTCTCTACTGTGTCTTTGGACTACAACTGAAGCGAAGGACCTCTACGTTAATATAACCTACCTCGAGACTGCCATAACGAAAGGAGCAGGTGACAATTATTTTAGTTTCGTACGAGTCTTACAATTTTATGTATTTCAAATTATATCTCTCTTTTTTAAATACGTAATTTATAACTAATGTTATATATATATATTTTTTATATAGTATGCTTGGATGGAAGTGCTCCTGCATTCCACTTTCATCCTGGAACTGGCTCAGGAATTAATAGCCGGCTAATTCACCTTCAGGTTAATTAATTTAACTCAAATTTTTACTACTACTACGTATGTTATTTCGGTTACAATTTGGCTCATTTTCAAATCTGAATTTCTAGGGTGGGGGATGGTGTGAAACCACTTCAGACTGCCTGGCTCGTGCAACTACGGACTTATCTTCAAAAAATATGTCAAAAATAGCATATTTTACTGGAGTTCTAAGCAGCGATCCTCAATTTAATCCAGGTGGTTTATAGGCTATGTGTATTTACCTTTTTTTAAGCACTATGTTGTGGCACTAACGTGTACTAACTAACTCAACGAATTTTTTAGACTTCTACAACTGGAACAAAGTCAAAATTAGATATTGTGATGGGTCATCCTATATTGGCGATATTGAAGAAGTTGACCCCGTAAGTTAGAATCTTCTTATTAGTCGTGTTAGAAAGTTTATTTGTGTAACTAGAAATGTCAAAATATTTCAGGATACTAACCTCCACTTTAGAGGAGCAAGAATTTTTGAAGCTATAATGGAATATTTTTTAGGTCAAGGGATGATTTATGCTCAAAATGTATGTCTTCTCCCCCCCCCCCCCCAAACTTCTGAATTCTGATCCCTTAGAATACAAAATAATTTCAATTTTTTTATGACAGGCTATCCTCAGTGGAACTTCAGCAGGAGGGTTGGGTGCAATCCTACATTGTGATAAGTTCAGATTATTTCTCCCATTAATTGCTAGAGTGAAATGTATCTCAGATGCTGGTTTCTTTGTTAATGTGTAAGTTTGGTCACTGCACTCAAATTTCTAAGTGCTCTTAAAAAAAAAGAGAGAGATAAAAACAACTGCACCTTATCATTAAATTCCTATAGTTGTGGAATAATTTTCTATGCTACAATTGAGTAGTTTTTTTTTTTTAATTCTAATTCTCGAATGAGTTTTATGCAGAGAAGCTATATCTGGTGAACCACTTATTGAGGAGAAGTATAAGAGAGTTGTTGCTTTGCACGTAAGAAGCATTATTTAAAATAGTTTCTCTTTTATTAGATATTTTATCTTAACTATACTTTACTATTTTTGTTGTACCTTATGTATATAAACATTAATTGTTGACTCTTGTACTTTAGGGATCTGCCAAGAACCTGCCACTCTCTTGCACGGCCTTGAGCTCAGACCCAAATTTGGTAAGAACAATTTTATTTGTAATTTATTTCTTTGTGGAAAAAATGTTATCCAACATGATCTTTCTAATTAATATGAAATCCAATGATTTGGCAGTGCTTCTTCCCTCAGTACGTAGCAAGACATATTTGCACACCTCTTTTCATTGTCAATTCGGCCTATGATTCTTGGCAGGTTAGAAAATCAATTTTTATGATTAACAAATTGTTTTCATATATGCTTCCTTTCAAATTCTAAATGGTTTAGCCTTTTTTATTCTTGAAAATTAGATAAACAATAGTTTGGTTCCTCAAGTTGCTGATCCTAACAATGAGTGGCTATATTGCAAGCATGATATAAATATATGCTCACCAAGTCAAATCCAAACTCTCCAAGGTCAGTACCAATTATAGATGGAATTAATATATATAATTCTCTTTTAATCTGATTTATCTGACAATTCCTCTATTATTTAACTTGCTATTGAATTTTTACGTTTCAGATTTCAGGTTGAAGTTTTTGGAGGCATTGAACGAACTAGGACCAAGTATATCAAGAGGTTATTTCATTTCCTCTTGCCATTTCCACAATGGCATTGAAATACAAAATTACTGGTCCTCCAGAAACTCTCCAACGTTAGCTAACAAGGTCATTTTCAATTATTTTTTTTCTTTTATGTAATTTTCAGTTTTATTTATTGTGTTGTTATTTGATTTTTGAACTCTAATTTATTGAAACAGACAATTGCGGAAGCAATTGGAGATTGGTTTTTCGACCGAAGTGAATTCCAGGGGGTTTATTGCCCCTATCCTTGTGGCAAATTTTGCCAGTAGAGGTGCTCATATTGTACTACTATTTCATTTTATTTTTTTTTAGAAGTGGAGTATCTAGCAGTGTAAGAAGTTTTTTTTTTTGGTTTTTTTTTTTTTTTTTTGTTAGTTAGCTCTAGTATCTTAGATATTGTCAGGCAACTACTCATGTAATTGCTTAAGATTATTCGTCAAACTTTAATATATTATCTCAGTTTGAAATGTTTATTTCGTTTTTTTAAGCCTATTGCAAGCATGCAATGAACTATGATTATTGCAAGAATGCAATGAACTATGCAATGAAAACATACAAAAAAATTTGAAACTCCCAAATGAGTAAATGCATTTGCATTATACGTTACAATGTCAATTAATCTATTTATTAACCATTTTATCTTACATAAAATTGATCAAGGATTATCAATCAGAACAAAACTGTTGTGAAGACGTAGCTAAAGACTGTCAAAATTACGTAAGGAAACTTAATTCCATCAATTTCTTTAATGTGTTCGTTGTTGCTAAATTTATTTATTGAGCTCTTTGCATTTCGTACATCAAATCTATTCAGCTTTTTTTTGTTTAATCTTAAATTCATATATTGAGGGATAACGTGAAATTAAGAATTTAAAAAAAAAATATAGGAATTGGAAGGGAAAGGAATCAATCAAGCTTCTTCCTTAGTTTTATTGATGCAAAATGCAAAGAACTCCTACTAATCAGTTCCTGTTTTTATTTCATCAATATGGCCATAAATGTATTTATTCAGTTTTAGGACATAAATCCCCGTAAATTACAAACTTTTGTAATATTCAATAATAGATCTTCTGAGTATAAATAAGTGTGAGGTATAATATGTATCAATAATGTTAACCATCGAAAATTGTTGTTCTCAATAAGCTGTGGGTTTTAAAATTAAGAAGCCATACTCACATTTTGTTACATTATTATTACGATTACCTATAGTTTGAGTTGGGGGAATTTGGGCAAGAGTTTATTAAATTCACAAGTGCAATTACCAAATATTATTTCGGATGAACAAGAATAGCTCTATTTTTTGTTTTGGGTAACACTTCAAAAAGGATTTTTACCTAATTAATTTATATTTTGAAAAAGATGGTCACCAATTAACAAAAGTATTATCGTGCAGGAAATATATATCAAGAAAAAGATGTGTTGTAAGAAAACTATAGCGGTGTTGCAAATTTGTATATTTGTCTTACTTTTATTTCCTGAGACATTGGTAAATTGTATTATAACTCATGAAGAAATGCTGCTCCTTTGCTATTTGGAATGCGTGGAAGACTATACAATTTATGGTTGGGACCTATTTAAGGATCTTACTGCAGAACAAATTGACGAAAAATGCAAAAAGGGTGAAAGCTATAGGCCATGTGAAATTGAGGGAGAAGTAGTTCATTAAAATGCTATTTTCTTATATGATTCTTTTAACAATAGATAGTGAAAAATATATAATATAGGATCTTTATAGGATAATTTTCTTCTGTTCTTATTAGATTAAATTATGTATACATTGTTGGTAGTAGGTAGGTCTCGCTACCATTTCAGCATAATCAAAAGTTTATCGAAATATAATATTTTTGAGTATTGCAAATTAGGATGTTGAATCAATGCTTTGCTACTACCCAAACAATCAAAAGTAACAAAATAAAAAAATTCATATGTTAGATCCCTCTACTTCTCTCAATTACGAATTTAGTGGCAACAATTGTAATTGTATAGTACAATAGTCGTTGCCCGTTGACATTAGTAAAAACTCAAATGGAGAACGATCAAGGTGTCGTACTGTCCGTACTATTTTCTAGCATAAGTTGTGTGATGATCCAAAAGGTCATCTCGTATTTTAGGATCCAATTCGGGATTCCGAGGTTTTCAAAACCTTATTTTCTTCCTCCTCGATTTGTGTGCATAGTCCGGGCGCATTTCTGGAAAGCCTAATATGGAAATTTAAAAAAAGAAATTAAATTTTGCCTTAAAAATTAATTTAAGTTGACTTCGGTCAATATTTTGTGTAAGCGGACCCGGACCTGTGATTGGATGGTCCTGAAGGGTCCGTAATAAAATATGGGACTTGGGCGTATGCCCGGAATCGAATTCCGAGGTCCTTAGCCCTGAGAAATGAATTTTTGAAGAAAATTATTAACTGAAAAATATAATGGTTTTTTAGAAATTGAATAATACTTGATCTTGTTTGTATCGGGCCCGTATAGTGGTTCCGGAGCCCGATACATGTTTAATATGGTATTTAAGTCATGTCTGTAAAATTTGGTGAGAAACGGAGTTTATATGACGTGGTTTGGACCCTCGATTGTCAAAATAGAAACTTTAAGCGTTCTTGAGATTTTCATTGATTTTGATGCTAAATTCATTGTTTAAGATATTATGTTGGTGATTTGATCGCACGAGCAAGTCCGTATGATGTATATAGACTTGTGTGCATGTTTGGTTTGAAGTCCCGAGGTCTCGGGAGAGTTTTGGATAGGCCACGGAGTGTTTTGAACTTAGAAGTTTTGCCGGTGTGTATCAGTTCTGTTGCAAAGCCTCTGATCTCGCAATTGCGAAGAAGTCAAGGCAGGGGGACTTTTCAATTGTGACCAAGTGTTCGCATTTGCGAAGGCAGCGGAAATTGCGAAGGTTCGCATTTGCGATGTCCTTCTCGCAATTGCGAGGTTTCGCAAATGTGAAGCTCCAGTCGTAATTGCGACATTTGTGCCTGTTAAGTTGGGTCTTAGACGGGATTTTCAACTCATTTCTCAAATTTTCAAATCCTAAGCTCCTATAGGCGATTTTCCAAAGAAAAGTTCCTCCCCGAATCATAGGTAAACAATTTCTAACTCATTTCTATTAATCTACTTCATCCTTTTACAAGATTTCATCACAAAATCTAGGGATTTTCATGGAAAATTGGGTGTTTTGGGGTGAAATTTTGGGATTTAGACCTCAAATTGAGGTTGGATTCCAAAACCAATTACATATCCGGGCTCATGGGTGAATGGGTAATCGGGGTTTGGTCCGAACTTCGAGTTTTGACCAAGTGGGTCCGGAGTCGATTTTTGACTTTTTGGGGAAAATATTGAAAAATTAATAATTATGTATTATAATTGATTTCTTTAGCATTTATCGATATTATTAAGTTAATTATGATTAGATACAAGTGAATTGAAGGTGGAATCGAGAGGTAAAACAGTAATTGTGGCTTGATTTTGGCTGAAGAATTGAGATAAGTGTTGGGTCTAACCCTGGCTAAAGGGATTAGGTATTGTTGTCTTATTTGCTACTTGTTAGTTGTTGAGTACGACGTATAGGTGAGGTGGCGAGAATCTATAAGTTGTTGTCGGGTCATAGCATGATAGTGAATCTTAGACTTGTGATTATTGTGTTTCCTTATACGTACTGTCCATGCCTAAACTAGTTATTCTTCTTGTTAATAAAGTCTTAGCGTGTTCTCCTGATTTTGGGATAATTGTTGAGTATTGACTCTAGTTGAGATTCTCACTGTGAAGTAAATGTTGAAACGAGGTTGTTTATTGATGATTCCCTTGTTGAATTGTTATTGTTTCTGTTGTTTGGGTGAGGAAGAGTGTAAAGCACGAAGGATGATGCCGTGCACTTTACTATTTATCCATATGGTGAGGAAAAGTGATAAAGCACGAAGGGTGATGCTGTGCACATTTACATTATTCATATGGTGAGGAAGAGTGATAAAGTACGAAGGGTAATGCCGTGCACATTTCTATTTTTATTGCATGGTGAGGATTGAGCGTAAAAGCACGAAGGGTGATGTTGTGCATTTTCTGTTGCTGTGTTTATTTGTTGTTATCGGTTCAAGTGTTCTAGCTGTTTAAATTCTTTTACTGCTGTGATTCTTTGTGTTGGAACCCACATAGCATGTTGCCCCCTTCCCGTTCATTTCTGCTTATTTCTTAATGTTTGTTATTATGTTAGTATATTGTTTAACTGCAGAGGTTTATATTATTTGTCGTGTCCTAGCCTCGTCACTACTTCGCCGAGGTTAGGCTCGACACTTACCAGTACATGGGGTCGGTTGTACTGACACTGCACTCTGCACTTTCTGTGCAGATCTCGGTACTGGACCATACTGATCAGAGTTCGAGGTTGTTGCCTTCAGTCCACCGGAGACTCAAGGTAGATCTGCCGGCGTTCGTAGACCCGGAGTCCCCTTCGCTCCATTTTTAGTTCCTGTTTTCTTTCATTCCGAAAAACAAATGTATTTCCTTGAAACTAGTATTTGTAGAAATTCTTAGATGTTCGTGGATTGTGACATCAGATCATTGGGGTAGTCATGTATTAGAATTGTTGAATTGTTATAACACTTCCGTACTTTATCTTTGTTTGGTTTTAGCTATTATTTATTTCTGTTCTGGTTAATAATTAATGTGATAAAATCATATTTGTCGGCTTGCTTAGCTTTCAAGGGTAGGCGTTATCACGTTCCCGACGGTGAAAAATCCAGATCGTGACAAGATGGATCCTACAAAACTTGATTTTACAAGCCTGAATCACGAAACCTTAGCATCAAAACTTCTCTAATAAGGATGTATTGGTTTTGTGTCATGATATATTATAATTGATCAGATTCCTTCATGCTGGTGAATAATCCGTGGGATAGCAAAGGAAATATGTTATAGATTGATCAATCATACCTTTCGCAGCACCCTGGCTATCATCGTTCTCTGCTTCCAAATTAAGCTCGCTCATCCCTCCCTACAACATGCATTTCTTGCAATATCGAATCCCACAACTCAATACTAAATCATAAACCTGATGCTTGGAACTTAGTTAACAAAGAGATATATGGACATACTCATAACACATAATATTTCTTTGAAGAGTATTGTGACAAAGATGCTGGACCATCTCAATTATTAGCATTCGTTCATTCATTTACTGAATGCATCTTTCGTTTTTCAGAAATCTGTATATATACAGGAAGGAATTTAACCTTGTTTAGTGGATGTAAAATTAAACTAAATATATAAATAAAGAAATACGAAGGCATAATTGAAATGTTAAGAGGCTAATAAATATTTGTAAAATCCAAACAAGCTACAAAATATATGCTGCCAATAAAAAACCAGAGGTAAAGAACTGCATAAATATCAATAGCAGCGGGTTAGGAATTTAGCGATTGTATGATTACTTTATATTAATCTCAATCATTCAAGATATTAAAGTGAATTAATAAACTA